AAGAGTATCTTTGCAGACAGGCTAGCTAAACTAGTAAGGAGGACTTTAAATTAGGTTTGCCAGGGGATGGCAACCAAAGCCCTGAGCTAAGTGGGGAACCAGGTGACCTGCAGGAAGGACAAGCAGGAGGAGACAACGGGGGAGGGCTTATTCTTCCTGAGAAAGTAAGGCAATTGGCTAGTTACCTCAGATGTCTGTACATGAATGCATGGAGCCTGAGAAACAAGCAGGAAGAATCAGAAGTCCTCCCATAATGTCATAGTCCCATGACTATTGGAATAGCAGACTTGTTGGGGTAGTGCACATGATGAGCACTGTCATGGATGGGTATAAACTAGGGGTGCACCAATAGAGATTTTGGGGGACGATACTGATAGCCATTATTTAAGGAGGCCTATGGGCCGATACTGATCTGGTATCCAATACAGCTGCCTCCTGGTGGTAAGTCTAGTGTGGTGGAAGGGGTGTGGGGAAGCAGATCAATGCCCCCTGCAGTGAGGGATGGAATGGGGCATGGGCAGGTGCTGCCCAGCCAGGGGGGGGTTGGGCACAGGATGGAGGTGCAGTTTGTGGGGTGGGGGCAGCTCCCAGCACTGCTTGCACCCCAGGGAGATGGGGGGGGTGCCCCCAGATATGCACAGCGCAGGGCTGGCTGCAGCTGCAGGGTGGAACCGGAGCTGGTGCTGCACACGGCTTTTCTTGCCTGGGGCTGGGCTTGGAGCAGGCTCTAGTGGTGCTGGGAGGAGGCTGCAGCCTCCCCAAATTTCACCGCAGCTCTGTTCCCAGCCCTGTGCTGCCAGCTGGTACACCCCCGACTGAACACCCCACCTCCACTCAAGCTCTGGGAAAAGCCACAGCTGCGCTGGGTGGCAGTGTGGGGCTGGGAGCAGAGTTGCAGTGAAATTTGGGGTGGCTACAGCCTCCTCCCAGTGCCGCCAGAGCCCACTCCAAGCCCAGCCCCTGGCAAGAAAAACCCCGCGCAGCACTGGCTCTGGCTCCACCCTGCAGCTGCAGCCCACCCTGTGCAACGCAGATCTGGGGGCACATGCCCCCCCCCCGCCCTCCTGGGGTGCAAGCTGTGGTGGGAACCACTCCCACCCCACGAGCTGTGCCTCTGTCCAATGTCCCCCCACCTCCGGCTGGGCAGAGCCTGCCCCTGCCCCCTCCCTCGTCATGGGGGGTTTAACCCCCCCCCGCCCCATGCCTCTTCCTTACCTATGGCATGGGTATTTATCGGCCAAATTATCACCCCATAGCGCTGATATTCAATATAGAAATGTTTTTTCATATTGGTACCAATCTGATACTGGACCAATGTATTGGTACGTCTCTAGTATAAACTGTTCAGGAAGGCCAGATGCCAGGGAATAGGAGGAGAAGTTGCACCTTATGTAAAAGAGCTGTATGATTGCTGGACAATCCAGTTGTACAAAACTGGAGATAGGCTTTTTGAAAGCCTCTGGGTTAGGATCAGAGGGTATGTCGTGGTGGGTGTGTGCTTTAGACTAGGGTTTCTCAACTCTTGGGTCATGACCCAAAAGTGGGACATAAGAAAATATGAGAGGACCACAAACAAACTTTAAAAATGGATTCTCCTTTAAAGGAGAAAAAGGTGTAAAACCAACCTGCCAGGGGCTGCTTGGTCCTGGGGGGAGCAAAGGGAGTGCGATCAGATAGGGGGTGCCATATACATTTGTGTAAGCACACATGCATGTGGCAGCCAGGCAGCATGGAGAGCAGCTCCTGCAGTTTCCCGTGGGTAAGTCTATGGGTCGGAGGGAGAAGGGGATAGATGACACATTGGAGGAGGTGGAGGGGGGCATAGGCAACATGTTAGGGAGGATTGGTGTGGGGGGTCATTTGCCCCCCTCCATATTTGTGTGCCCCCAGCAGGCACGGGGCTGCAGCTTGACCCTGCAGGAACTGCCTCTGTGGCCCAGTGGCAGGACCTGGCACTGGAGGGCAAAGCGAGGTGGCAAGACTCGTTCCTACCACCAGAACCCCCACACCAGCTGTGCCACCAGCAGTGCGAAGAATAACATGTGGGGGCTGTGCTGCCCTTGCCTCCTGCCAGGAGCTGCTTGTATGCTGGACTGCAGCTCTACCCCGCCACCAAGACTTGGCTACCACTGCTGCTCCCCACAGGCTGCAGCTCTACCCCAGAGGGGAGGTGGGGTGGGAGGCAGCTTGGGCAGCCTGAGGGGAGCAGTGGCAGCGGTGAGGCCATGGCATGGGGTAGAGCTGCAGCTCTGCTGTGTAAGCAGCTGGCAGCAGGAAGAGGAGAGGGCAGCATGCCCATCACTTCTCCTCCCCCCCCCCATGTGCATTACTCCTTATGCTGCTGATGGCAGGGCTGGCACAGGGGTCCTGGTGGCAGCAGCAGCAGAAATGAGTCTCACTGCC